ATAGGTGTGATCGAAAATGTTTTTGAGACCTCGAAGAAGCAAGGACATACAATTATGATGGAAATTCCGGATTTTCGAAAGTCCGAGGCTGACAGCCGAATTCAGATTGATAGCACAATTCGACCGGCGTTCCGCTCGGAGCAAGTATTTGGTTTTAGAGCTAAGAAAATAGATTAGATTCCCTGACCACTCCGCCTACTAGGTCAAGACCCAAGAGCGGGGGTCTCAAGCTCAAGCCCAAAGCTTCAAGCCCCAACTCTCAAGACCCAAGTCCGAAGTCTAGCTCCTCATTCTCTGACGAACGCGAGCCCACGCCGAGGCTGGAATGTATGTATCAGCTTGCCATCCTTGTGTTGGTCACAGTTATGTAATGCGATTACCAGATTCGGAACGTTGAAATCTCCCCCCAGAGGCTCCTGTCTCACTTATCCTTCAACCAGCTACTATCTATTACACCGCCCTAGCAACGCAAACAGAACTATTCGAATATTCAAGGATGTCCGTTATCTCTGGTTCTGAGTCTGGCTACTATTCCACCTATTCTTACGGCCAAGCTCGGGCTACTGGCGTACAGACGGCACGGGCCGATTTGCTCGGGACATACAACATTAAAGCGATACACCAACATTCTTTCAGCGGATATTTCAATCTCGCCAAGTTAATCAAGTCCGCGATGTCCGAAAAGGGCGGCCCAGAATACATCGCGGTCACCAATTTTAGTCCTAAGGATCTGGAGTATGTGGTATCTGTGCGCCTGGACTTTCCCCCCGCAAGAATCACCTACAGTGGTGAAGCCGAAACGATAGTCATCAAGACCGTACCAGGGCTCGCTCACGAGATTGGCGTAAACAAAATCTCGGACCTGATCAAAGAATACTTGAGCTCAAAGGGCGTCGCATGGGAGACCCTATGTACAACTGGCGGTGCTCGCTTCTTGACAACTTCTACGGTGAAACCTCTCAAAGAACCCGACCAGAGCTATAAACCTATGGCAACACGACCAGAAGTGAACGCCTTCCCGTCATTCGTTATAGAGGTTGGGGTGTCCCAGACCCTGGCATCGCTTCGTTGTGACGCCCATAAATGGCTCTCGAAGACCGGCATGGCGACAAAATTGGTCTTGCTAGTATCAATCAACATGACTGCGCGAAAAATAACTCTGGAACGCTGGGAAATGGTCCGAACTACCCGACCTCCACGGACCGCACAATACCGGTGCAAATGTCGGCAAATGCTAGTTCTTTACGCTGATGGGATGGTCATCGGCGCTCCACTTTTACTGCCAGCCAGGTTGATCTATGATAATCTTCTGCCTCTTGGGCTGAATGCGGCGGACTTTACATTCTCCGAAGATATTCTAGTACGGTTTGTCACAAGTTATTTCACAGCTGCAGCTCCCATGGCCTAGAGGTATGTCATATACGTTATCCCACATTCCTCAGGTCATTGAGCTGTCCGTTTTCCCCCCAGGAACATACTATACAACATCGCACATGTATATGCCCTTACTAGAATCTTATTATATATTTTATAACCCCTACAACCTCTTCCCCGCGACAAAAACCATGAGTGAGGCTTGGGGTGGTAGGTTTGAGTGTAGGTGTGATAGCACAGCGGTGTGGCGATGCGCATGGTGTGCTCCTGGTTACCAATCCCGTGTTCCTGCACCTCGCCGAACCCCTTCCACACAACAACAAGTTTGACCACCGCCTCCTCCTGGACAGTGATACGCCTTTGCGCTGGCTATGTTGCCCAACACATGAGTTCGGGACACCGCCCTGCACGTGCGCTAAGTAGCATGGACATCATGATCCCTGGGTAGGTGCACGTCTTTTGGCATACCATGACCGGCTGAGTGGCGTGAGGTTAAATTGAATATACGATAGGTGAAAGCGGCTTAACCAGGCGAGTACGGAGAGGCCTGGGATAACGTGAGTGCCAAGATTCATGCACATATAGTATACGATCGAACGTCTATTGAGGCCTCCATACCGCAACATCGACATCGCGGTGCGGCAGCAAGCAGACGAAGTATTACCCTTGCATTGCGGTTGGCCAAATGCTCCGAGCGGAACGCCGGTCGAATTGTGCTATCAATCTGAATTCGGCTGTCAGCCTCGGACTTTCGAAAATCCGGAATTTCCATCATAATTGTATGTCCTTGCTTCTTCGAGGTCTCAAAACATTTTCGATCACACCTATAGGGAGCTCATATCACTGCCCTCTGACGATCTGAGACTCCAAGTGATGCAACAGGAGCTCTCCTGGGCTCGGCGGCTGTGATTTTGGCTACACTTTATTGAGTGAAACCTGATTCGAAGCGGAGTATGAAATGAGTCGCGAGCTTGGTTATAAGGACTGAGTTAAATAGAACCCCGTCCAACATACCATTGGCACTGCTCAACACCCATCATCTACTCTTGCTTAATCTGGGTCTTTATTACGTCCCCTCTAAAAAATCCGCTAGTGTCGACAACACGTTAGCATCATGCCACCCCCTGCACCGGTAGACGTAGACCCCTTCGAGCTGGATGACCCAAACGATGAAGATCCAGCATACGATTCAGACGTAGACTACGATTCAATGGACCTCCTGACTCTGTACCGCATCCCCCAACGCTGCCGGCACGCCTTCCGCACCTTCGACGGCCTCCGCGCCTTCATGGAGGAGTCGACCCGGGCGTTCGGGGGCGGCTGGGGCCCCGGGCGGCAGCTCGTCGGGTCACGGGCTTCTCCGCTGAACACCTCGCCCAGTTTGATGAGATCCGCGATACCCTTCCCCCAGTGCGCGTCACGTATGAAGGAGAGGATCAGATGGTCGTGTTTAAACTCATTGGCTAGCCGTGCTCATGATTTAGTGCATACCTGGTGCAATTAGCTAAGGTGTTGGACAAGCAAGCGAGTCACGACACTGTCCAGCCGAGCAGACTCTGGCGATAGGCAGCTGTTTGGCCTCGCTTCGGTTTTTCCCCCCTGTCCACCTGTTCACTATCGATTCGAACAGTGTCTAATTCGCACTCTCAAAACCTTCAGCTAACCTTTCACTTTTCTTTTACTCACGCTCCATAAACTCTCGTATCATCTTTGTGTCTTACATTTATGGACTTTAACTACGTTCCATACTCCTTATAAATGAATACATTGATTATTTGATCTACCATGCTTTAGGTCGTGTCCATCACCTTGGATAAGGAGCCAATTCGCCGAGACGATCACTCCTACCCGCCCATGAGCGACGTGCTCTCGTCTCCGCGTCCCAAACTGAGCTCACGCTCGACTTCCCCCTCTAACGTTCTAGCTCCTTATTTATTTGCTGTTCATTTGCTGAAGGACGTGAGGCACGCCGAGGCTGGATTTACAGTAACATAGCAAGAAATAAAACAATCGACACCAGCAGGATTTGAACCTGCGCCCTCAAAGAGGAACAGATAATACTGGGGGTTCGAATCTGTCGCCGTAACCACTTGGCTATAGTGTCTTAAAGTGGGCGATCGTCCATGGCAACCGCGGCGGGGTGCTTGATTGTCAGCACGGCACGTTATCAAACTGATTTCCGGTTCTCGCCCCGTTATAGCCGATGGTAGATGATTGGCGGTATCTGATTGCTAAATAATTCTTTTCATCTCTCATCTTCTGCAAAAACTTCATGGCCTCTCCAAACGAACAAGGTATGTCCAGCGTAGCACGTTGAAACTCAATAACGAGGGCTCTAGTCCTGATTGGTGTCATTGGTGGAAGTGGGTTATACCACCTTGACAACCTCACATTTGTGTGCGTGTACCCCTACCCGAATACCTCCCAAATGACATCTGTCCAGCAAACAAGTAAACCCCGAAACAGTGCGTAGTTTTCAACTTGAAGCTAGGTCACTCCACAAACAAAACGCCTCAGCCCTGGGGCTTTCCCTCCTCGCCGATCACCATTAGCGCCCTCCCTTCAGGCGCCCTCATCGCCTTCCTCGCCCGGCATGGCCAGCACCACAGCATCCCGCCTTCCTCCGTACCAGCACGTGCTAATATCGCCGCCCTCAAATCCCTCGGTGCACGGGCGGTGCTCGCCTTCTCTGCCGTCGGCTCCCTCCGCGAGGAGATCCCACCGGGGACCTTCGCCCTCCCGACGCAGATCATCGACCGCACAAAAGGGGTGCGCCCCGCATCCTTCTTCGAGGGCACCAGTATCGTTGCACATGCCGCCTTTGGAGATCCATTCAGCGGCAACCTTGTGCGCTGGCTGGAGAAACGAGTGGAGCGTGTGTTGGAGGAAGAAGGAAAAGGCGTGAAACTCGTCAAAGATAAGTGTATTGTGTGCATGGAGGGTCCGCAGTTCTCCACCCGCGCGGAGAGCCTGATGTACCGCCAATGGGGTGGCGATTTGATCAACATGAGCGTATTGCCCGAGGCTAAGCTTGCGCGTGAGGCTGAGCTGAGGTAGGTTGGGTTCTACCTTCGCATTGACAAGGATTTAATAGTATTCCTGGTTTAGTTATGCTCTTATTGCCACTGCAACAGACTACGACTCGTGGCGCCCGCATTCGGAAGCCGTCACCGCGGCTGAGGTGTTCAAGACCCTCAAGGCCAACGCCGATACCTCCCGGCATGTTGCTGCAGTTGTGCTTGAGGAGCTGCATCTCGCGCTTAGTGGCCAGGGAGAAGCACTCGTCCTTAATGACGCGGGCTCGATGAAATATTCAATTATGCCACGCTCAGGCCCCACGGACCCAGCGGACAAACAAAAGCTCGGATATGTGCTCCCCGAGTATTTTGGAGAGGATGCCGTGACGGAGGTCAAAACCGAGGCGGAGGTGAAGGCGGCGGCATAGGCAGGATTGGGTATAAAGCCGCTGGCATCCTTACTTGCTATAAATATTGAAGTAAATGGAATCTAGAAATCCGGTCGAGATTCAGGCATCGAGTGTCGTAGGGTCCACCATCTGGACAGTAGGCACGTCCAATATGTGGGCGATATCGACTCCCGTGCTATGCAGGTATTCCTCCGCAGCCGCCTTGGTCACAGCGTAATGTTGGCTCTCCCATGAAATGCCTTCAACGAAGAATTCCATCTTCTGTGTGATCTCCAAACCTGCAGGATGCGATGCCGACGCCTCAGCACCTGGCCCCAAATCAACCGAAGGCGCATAAGACCACACAGTGCCGGAGACGTCAGATATTGCGCCCGAGGAATCAAACTCAAGGTCCCTAATGAATACGTAGATATCTGACGGCTCTGGGTCAGCCGCGGTAACCGGGGTAGGCAACACAGATTCTCGAAGAAAGGAAATCTCCCAGGTGATTTTCACGAGGATGCATGTGGCTTGATGAACCAGTGGTCAATTAGGTCCAATGGACAGAAAGCGAGGGTAACATACCAAGACATGCTCTGTGATCGCCCCAAGTTTGGCCTGCGGGAGCCTGCTCAAAAATGTGATGTGCCTGCGAGAGCCAGGCAATCTCGAGAGCACCTTGCACTGGCCAATTTGAAACGAAGCAGACGGCTGCAAAACTGACTTGAGAAGCAGATCCCTGGCAGCCTGGAATAGTAAATCTAGGTAAAAGAACCAATATTAGGTTACATCATAGTCATCACTCAAAGTATCTCATACCTAGTGTAGTTGTCGGAGAACCTGACACCCTGCTGCAATTCGGGGTGTATGCGAGCCTGCCACTTTCCTGCTTTGGGTGCCCCGGATTGGTTTGTTGGTATCCAAGCAACAACTTGCGGTTGAGCTTCTGCTCCTGGACGAATATATACGTCGCCGATCTTCATTTTGGTCGGACCCCAGCCCTGGTAGTGCACGCGGCCCAATCTGCTGATACCAGAGTAGAAACTAGAAAAGTCTTCCTTCGATAGTGATTGAGAAATGCCCGATTCAAAGGGTAGCGGTTCGTCGCCCGCGTCTACAAAGACCATGTTGTGGAGCCAGTCCTTGTAAGGGCTTGAAGGCAATGTCTGTCCCCTGGATTAGCCATCCTCTCGTGTTGAGATAACGGACAGCTCACCGGTAATACAACATTGGTCATTGCACCGAACTCAACGTAGGGTATCATCAAGGTGCCATCTGTACGCTTCACCAGAGCGTGATCCTGCAAGCCACAAACATCCTCACGGTAGCCGTCCTCTGTCTTGATGCATATTAGTAGGGGAGCCCGAGCAAGAGGTATGGAGGGAAATGGAAATACCAAGAACTCGGATTCGAAGTAGGCATTAACATTCTGTGGGAGTGGTCAGCTTGGAACTCAAATCTCCTGAAAGCACTCACCATGAAATCGGATAGCTGGATATTAGCCCGCCACTCAGCCACTACTTATGAGATATTATATGCAGGACGCACCAAGCGGTGCTCAAAATTGACCACCGAGCCCGGATCGGGGAGCATCCCAGCGTAAGCGTCTATCGGAACCAGATCTACCAACATTGTGAGTAAGCAAGCCGCAGCACGAATACTCCACGCACCATCGTGGAATATGAGAGCGCGGAAGCGCGGCGAATCACAAAAGCCGCACAGCTGAGCAATGTTCGGACGCCTACATGATTATAATTACATGAAGCAAACGACGAGGGCATTTGAATACCTGATATCTTTCGCGAAGAACGATAGATGTTGTTCCCAAATCTGTTGGAGTGAGGGTACATAAAATCACGGAAATGTATGACATACTTCAGATGCATGGTCGCCCTCAAAGATGTGAATGGTTTTCAGGTGTGCGCTGCCCGGAACCGAAACCCCGCATGAAGTGATGATACCCCTGGTTCGAAAGGCCTCATGTTTTGGGCTGATCTTGATTTCGAGGTTTCCGAGGAAAGTTTTCATGGGGGATGTGTACAGGAGATGGAGCTCGCCCCGCTTGAACCTGAGAAACTACAGCCATGATTAGCCCAGAAAATAATTGGTGGGCGACCAGCACTAACGTCCACTTCATATAATGACATGTCCAATCGACCGTTTTGTAGTCCCTTCCCTGGCAAGATATCAGGGTCTGGCAACCTTGCCCGAACATCTGACAGCGACTTTTTCAGGATAGAGATATCAGAGTGAATGTTCGAGGTCTTGAAGCTGGTGCTGGTAGTTGCAGAAAGCTGATGCCCCCCGAAGCCGTGTAAGCGGAAGGAGCTGAGCAGCGCAAACATGAACAGACCAATATGAATGTTTGGAGATCCTTTATCCGGCGGGTGTAGTCATCGATTTTATTACGAATCATTGCGGATTGGATGTACCTCCGAAACCATGAAGAGCGGTTCTTTGTGACAATCAGGTTCAAGTCAGCAGCGACCTCCTGAAGATACCTGAAGTGGCAAGAGTGAGAGTCTGGCCTAAGGACCAAAAAGTGCTCAAAATAATTCACTGAAAGAAATTGTCACACAGCATTATCAAATTCGCGTCCAACTGACGCTGACGATAGTTTGACACAATCTCCTGATGTAAAATCCTTGCGACATCGACGACTAAGTTAGCGAGATATACAATGTCGTCGTCGTTCATGCGGGCCGTCTACGCGGGGAATCAGAACCATAAGCGTTTGTCCGACTGCCCAATGACCAAATGAACGCGCCTGAATGAGCTCGAGCACCGTAACAAGCGCCCCGAAGGATCCCTTCACACCCGGAAACGGAAAGGCATCTCCTACACTTCTGAGCCCTTTCGCGAAGGTGATCAACTGGGTGAGATGATCTGTAGAAAATTTCGGACGACGGAGAGGGGGGACCATAAGTCGCGGGATCTAATGGATTACAGACCGAGGAACCAAAATGCCTACCAAGAACCCATGTGCCTCTATATATTTGAGGCTGGGATGCCGTTACTAGCCGGCTCTTTGAGGCCGGTGCTAACGCAACGCAACAGACCTGGGTGGTGCCTGGGCTCCCACCACTGATTAGCAACAGCACCGCCCCCACTATTTCAGAACTGGTGACTCCCAGACAGCCTTCCTTGAAAGTCCAAGAGAAATGTCGAAACCTAATAATTGGAATTCCTCTTGCTGTTATCGAGAAAATTGCCCCAGGCTGAGCTAGGCGGATAGAAGGTATAGTCTGGTACTTCGAGTTCACTTAAGCTGAGCGGCTGAGTTTAGGCTTGTTTCAGTGTTTGGGCTTGGCGTAACACACGCACAGCCACTAGTTTGTCTTCGGAGGCCTCGTTAGTGTTGCTAAGTGGTAAGGTAAGGTGATCTCGAGGTGTCGGCTAATTAACTCAAGGTGCCTCGAGCTCACCTTCAAGGTACCTTGAGGTGACTGCCTAATCTGGTCGAATACTTGTTAGGTAGTCTTTCTGCCTTCACCCTCGTAATACTGGCTGTTTCTACAGGCTGCCATACAGCAGAAGAAGCATGTTATATTTATCAGACCAGTTATTCATGAGAAGGCACGATTAAGGATTCAAATAAGGATTCAAAGCCCAATATTCCAGCTAAAGTAGATGGATCGGAGGCTGCTGCCAAGGTATCCACTTCGTCATAGCAAAAAACACATTCGAATTTCACAGAG